TGGGGCAACACACCTGTTGACTGTTAATTATGACTCTCATGACAATACTGGTTTTAGATACTTGGTCAAGGAGATGTTTGATTTCCACTAGCGTACCAGTTTTCTTGGCAGATGAATGAAAAGCTTGAAACTTCATTTTGCCTTGCTGCAGTTCTACAGGGCACTAACAAAGGAAAGCATTCATTCTGTGAAAACTTTACCAGTAGACAGACAAAAAAAAAAAAAAAAAGAACAACCCACAAACAAACAAACAAAAAACCACTTACCTTTATAATCCTGAGCCTTTGTGTAGGTAAGGCATGAAATATGTACTGCATAATAGTTTTCCATTCAGATCAAATTAGAACTACACTGCTTATTTAATATCTAGGCAATCGGTCATTTAGTCCAGTGATGGACACCTTGGGGGAAAGCACTTTAGGACAGTCCTTGTGGAGACGTAATAGAGCAGGAAGATGGTGAAGAGATGCCTGCTCATTGTAAGAGATCTTGGGTTTCTTGAAAGGTTCCATAAACATCTGAGTGATGAAGCATCAAATAAAATGCAACATTTCCTTCACGTTAGGAAAAGTTACTAATCCGGAAGAAGCCTCAGTGTTATTTCTAAGTACCTTATTGATGATATTTTCCTAACATCTGTAATTTTTAAAAGTGTAGCTGGAGTTTTCCTGGTCCTGCCTGGCCCACAGTCAGCACAAATCTCTCTCACCCACCAGTCCTACAGCCGCTCAGACCCAACCAAGTAAACATACAGAGACTTATATTTCTTATAAACTATATGGCCATGGCAGGCTTCTTGCTAACTGTTCTTATATCTTAAATCAACCCCTTTCTATTAATCAATAAGTTGCCACATAGCTCGTGGCTTACCGGTATCTTAACATCTGCTTCTCATCATGGTGGTTGGCAGTGTCTCTCTGCACAGCCTTCCACTTCCCAGAATTCTCCTCTCTCCTTGTCCCACTTATACTTCCTACCTGGCTACACTGGCCAATCAGCATTTTATTTATACAGAGCAATATCCACAGCATAAAAGTTGGTTTATAATTCTTATAATTTAAATATTTTAAAAAATAGTTCATCCATAAGGAATGTTCCATACAAATGCCACTCGGTTACCTGGGACTGTTGTGGTCTTCTTGTCCTTGGTCTCCAACTTATGTAGAGAAAGCAGCATGGGGATTATTGTTAGAAACAGACACACAGGGAAGCTGCCATCTTCAGACACATACATTTCTGGCTCCCTCCAGTGAGGGTGGTTGTTATGCCAAGCCACGAGAGTCTATTAAAGGATCTCGGGAATTTACTAAGTTATAAAATGGGGATAATGCACTCACAGATATGGAACAAAATAAACACCTCTACTCATTCAGCTGTTATCATCCTCTGCTCCACCTAAGGGTGATGGGAACCCACCGTCCTGTTTCAGACCACCCAAGAGAGCACCAAAGCACCTCCTCCTCAGTTTTAACCAGTCATGTATCCAGAAAGGGCCACTCCCATCAGGCTAGATAGCCCAAAGGTCATTGGTTGAACAGAATGAATACCCTCAGCACTTCCCCTTTTTTGTCTAAATAAAAGGGTTCTAAACCTAATACAAAACTATATACAATATAAACAATTATCAAGTATTGTCCAGGAGATAAAAGCATAATAACATAAACAAAAGTGGAACTACAATCAACAAGAACATCAAGTAAGAAACATAGGAAATGTCCAGAACATAGTAAATAGCAAATTACAGAGATTACTCCAATAGCTGTCCCGTCCTGAAGAATCTAACTCTAGTACCCAATATGTTCTTAGTTAAGATACAAGAGGATTGTAACTATAGCTATCTAGTCTTCAACCCCATCAAAGACCTGAGGGGGGAAAATATTACCTGAGTAAGCAGGAAGTGCAAGCAAGCAACTTCCAAAGTATGCAAGAAATGATAGAACCAGCTGACTGCCTGAATAGTCACCCATTTTTTCTCTGCATTGTTGGGACATCATCCTCTATTGGCTATAGGCTAGAATAGCTTTTTTTAAATTGTCCTAACACTTTCTAAAGACAATACAGCACCTAAAGCTGGTTTGTCATTGAGGTGAGGTTGGCTGCTTCTGCTTGATGGCCACTAAGTAACCCATTTAAAGTTTGCAGTGTTGTAAAATATAAGTTTTTTTTTTAAGCTCTCAAGTCACAGTGAGAGAGAAATTGCATGTATTGAAGCTTAGTGCATGAAAAATGTAGTAGCCTAGGCTAGAATATCTTACAGATCATTTTCAGAAGCAGGAAAATTTGAAAGACTGCCCTACCCTATCTTGGCAAGATTCAACAGTTGCTTTTTCTTGTGTCCTGCTTGTCCAGATTAGACAGTACGCTTACTGTCAGCAGTCAAGGCATGGTGCAGTACTTTGCCCTACAGGGCATATTTACCAAGAAGAACACAAACTCCATGTGGAGTGTCTTTGATGCCCATCATCCTTTCAGGAGTAGATCTGTTCTGCTAGGAGCAATAATGTCTCATGTCAACAGAATTCTAAGTTATTAAAACATTCAAATTCTATCTCCCATAGATTTATGAAGTGTTCGAAGATTATCTATCCATCTGAAATATATCTCTGTTTATCTAGAAAACCTAACTAACATGACTATAAGTTTAACAAGCATGGGTGACTATTAACCTGTAACTCTTATCAACCTATATAGCTTAAAGACTAAGGTTTCACATAATAAAATTAAACAGTCTGTAAACAGATGTACAGTATAAGGACAATGACCTTGAGTTTGGACAATATACAAAAATATCTTAGAGGTAGAAATGTACAGTGCAACATGGCAAAAATATCCTTAATTTGAATCAATCTACAAAATATCCTAAACAGAAGTAGAACATACATACAGTCATACAATATGACATACAGTATGTCAAATATAATTTTACATTTGTATCATACAAAAATATTTTAAACAGAAGTAGGGACATATATCCAATATGACAAATATAGTTTTGACTTTGTATCAATATACAAATTATCTTAAATAGGAATAGAAAAATAATGTTACATTTGTAACAATATACAAAAATCCATACTAATGCAAATTATCTAAAACTGAAAGTTGCTAATTTAGTTTACAAGTGAATACAATAATCTGCTTTATTTCCTATTCTACCTATCCCCCTTTTTTCTACTCCAAATGAGATTCCTGAGTCCAACTTTATTGTTCTGTCCCCAACCCTATAACAATTTATATCCAACTCCTAACAGCTGATAATTATCCATAACCCTGAGAAAGCAAAAGCCTGTTGGGAGAGGGGGGTTTCATTTTCTTAGAATTTCTTCCTGCTGTCCGGGGGCAAAGGTCTCCCTGTGGGATCCTGTAAAAATTAGAACAATGGTTAAGTTTCATGAAGACTAGCTGTAACATTTGTAACCAGTCTCAGAGTAATGGGTAAAGCTTATCTGAAGTTATGACTAGAGGTTTAAGATGGGGAACCATCTCAGCTAGCCACCTTGGAACTGTCTGGAACAGTTTGCAGTCCAAAGCCAATCTTTGTGTGGTGTTTATCAGCTCATTGGCATCATTGTAAACCAGGTAGAATCATTGTTGTGGGGCCCCATCATCTTTCTGGAGACTTTAGAAATGGCAGTTAGAAAAATTTACTGTTCGCTGTGGAAAACTTAAACATTATTAATATCAAGACAGAAGGTTTAAATTTTAAGATAGTAATGTGTCTAAAGAAGGTTCCAAAGAGTTGAACATAAGTGTGAAAAGAAAGAGAATTGTGACAATAGTTCCTACATTTTGGGTTTTCTTCTGTCCCACACCAGATGACTCTTACGATACGAGACAAAAACTCTTAAGTTTTTTTTTTTTTAACAACATACTTAGACTTAGAGAAGGAGAGAGCCAAACTCCAACTCTAAAGCCAGCTTTGACTAGGACTTCAACTTTTTTGAGAAGTAAAAAGATAATGATGTTTAGATAGTGAGCTTTTACCCCAATTAGAGTATTTGTACCATCAGGTCAGATTTTTCTTTGCTTGGTAATTTTTTTTTTTGATAGCTTTCCCTTCTTTTGATGGGCTAGTTGTCCAAGGACTTTTGACTACTTGTATTTCTGTTTTCCTGTAAAGACAGAAACAGCCCCCTGCCCTGGCGCTTGTTTGGTGAGTTTTCCTTACAGCTTGTAGAGATGTCACATCGGTGGATGAACTATCACTTCTCCTTATTAAGAAATTTCTCCTGTTCAAATTGAGTCTTTATTAATTTTGATGGTACCCATAGAGAGTTTTGAATTGAATCTTTATTAATTTCAACGGTATCCATGGAGAGCTGAACAGGAGACTGTGCCCAGGGCCTCTTCCCACACAGGTTAGGAAATAAAGGCGGAGATGTCTTCCTAGTACCCCGTCTCAAAATGAAACACACGGGATTGCTGTTACACATCGCACTCTTCCATCATGTTTAGAAATCATTAATATCCTGAAGCACTGTTTCCTTGTTCCATCAGAATCATAGTGCCACAGTCTAGCCTTGACTCTGACTAAGTCATCAAGACACAGAACTTAGATTTATGCATTGGGGATGGAAGCATCCAGTTCATCAAATTGTTTTAAATACCTAGTGAATCCTAACTGTCATTTCTTAAGTTTCTAATTTCCTTACCAATTGTCATTCTCTTGCATTCACTATGGCAACCACACTTAAGGAAAATAAAACTTGAAATTATCAATGAACCATGGCTCTAGCAAAGCAGAGCGTTCTAGCTTAGTCTTTGCCTAACCCTGAAAGGGCCTCCCTTGCAACATGACAGGGCTCATGGTGTATTCAATAATGGTTGTATGGTTTTTCTTAGTGCCATCATTTCCAAAGCAAGCTTACTCTTTCTTTATATGTTTTAATTCATATTATTCAAAATACACATATTTCTTGCATGTGTTTTAAGTTTCTTTGATGTACAGACTCCACCTTGTTAATTCTTTTCCCATGTGTCTTTCTACTCTTTCAAAATAGATCCCATGCGTGGCCCGAGAAAACTGGAAGTTGTAGAGGTCAAGTCTCGACAAATCACCATCCGCTGGGAGCCATTTGGATACAATGTAACTCGTTGCCATAGTTATAATCTCACGGTGCACTACTGTTACCAGGTGGGAGGACAGGAGCAGGTGCGAGAAGAAGTGAGCTGGGATACGGATAATTCACACCCTCAGCATACAATCACCAACCTCTCCCCATACACCAATGTCAGCGTGAAGCTCATCCTCATGAACCCCGAGGGGCGCAAGGAAAGTCAGGAACTCATTGTACAGACGGATGAAGACCGTGAGTGCTTTTAACTGATATGTCTATGTGAAATATGTTCTTCCAAAACAACTTGGGTGTCTTTGACTTTTAGAGCTGCATGTTGAAAACAGGTGGCAGGTCGCCTTCGTGGAGCTTAATATGTCTGTGCTCCTACTCCGAAGCACTAATTAGGAGAGAAGGGACAGAGACCGAGGTTTCTCATTTTTATATAATTCAGTTTCACAGTGTCACACATAGACACAATTTGTATTGACCATTCTCATCTCCCACAGCCCTGTCACTCTGTCCACCCTCCACAGTCCCTCACAGTTCTCTCCCTTACATCTATCTCGATTTGTTTTATTCCATGACCCACTGAGATTAACCAGGGCAATCTGTGGGACCTTGTGTTTAGATGTCCATTGGAGCCTGGTGGCCTCAGCCCTGGACATACAACTAAAGATAGGGATTTCCCCTCTCCAGGAATCTTTCTTTCTGAGAGTGTATATAGCTATGTGCCCCCTCTGCCTTCTTTGAGTATTGAGCTCGTCTTGTGTGGGTCTGCTATAGGGAACTACAACTTTGAGTTAATGATTGCAATAGTTCTGTGAGTCCAGACGGTGCTATTGTCTGACCCCTGACCTTATCCTCCTGACCCCTTCTGGAATGTTCCGCAAGCTTTAGAGGAGATGGGATGAGCTTCTATTTAGTGCTAGGCCCATAGTCAGTGCTTACTCTCCAAATCTTATTTTGACTAATAAGTGGCACTTTTCTATATGGAAATTCTATAGTATTTTAAGTAGTTCTTAACATTTTCATTATCATGTTGGATTGAGATATTACATCAGTTCCACAAACTGCTATCTGAACATCTTTACATGGCATTCGTTCTCATTGTTCCAATCAAATCCATCACAGACTCACCAGAGCCAGAGTTCCACCTGCATGAGCCTGTGATCACATGCCTGTGGCTTGCCCGGAAGATCTCTCTGACGTCTGGCTCTTACAGTCTTCCCACTCCTTCTCTGTGACGTTGCTTGACGTCTAGAGTGTGTGCTATAAATTTAGTTTGTATGCTGTAACATATTATTATAATATGTTATCATTTACTTTTGTATAAACCGCCTTTAAGAATAAACCATTATTTTTCATCTGTAGCAATAATCATGCCCCACAAGATGTGATAAACGTCCAAAAATACAAAATCAGTCCTTGCATGACATGAGAGAATGTTACTGATAAACACATGATTCCTGTTTTAACTAACACTGTTGTTGAGTCAACAGGAGATAAAATGTAGCCATTTCATCAAGACCAGATATGACTGGCAGAGAAAAGAAGTTGCCCAACTCCTTTGGAGTTTCAAAGTGAGAACCAAGTTAGGAATTCTTTGGAATCCTGTCAAAACGTCAGACTCGCTAATTTTGGATGTTTGTTTATTTAAATTATCTCACTAGTCTCAGGAATTAAGCCTTGTGTTATTTGCAAATAAAAACCTATTGTTTTGTAGCTCAGCAGCATTCAGCTAATTAGAAAAGAACTATTATTGCAAATTACATTTTCTCAATAACCAACCAAACAAAAACCCACTTCAAAGAAGATGGGGAGAAGAAAGACAAACAGAATAATTGTCAAACAATACCAAGTTTGAAGAGAAAAGCAACAGTTCTTGTGACTCTAGTTTACCCAACATCATTTTGTTCTGGAATCACATGTTTATTGAAATGTTTAGTAACAGGAAGTGCATGGAAATTATCTTTTGATCATCATTAGCAGTATCACTGGACAGCATAGGTGATATGGCTACTTCCATAAAATCCAGAATTCTAGAATATCTAAAGCAAATCTTCAACCTAAATTCATTCGACATTTTATTTTCTCTATTAAGTCTCCTTGATTTAAAAAAAAAAAAAGCCAACTGTATTTTTCCTGTTCTAAGCCTTAATTTTTTTGGATGGGTCCACTTCAAGCATTCTTTTTTATTACATCATTTATTGATTTTTGCATGTATCCACGTGACTGTATGTGTTGGTTCACATGTGCCATGGTGTGCATGTGCATTTCCGATGAAAACTGGTGTGGAGCTCTGTCAGCTTGGTGGCAGGTGCCTTCATCCACTGAGTCATTTCGTCAGCCCCATGTAAGGTGCTTCTTCTACAATACCTTCACTTGCCATGTCTCTTCCAAGGCATTTTAAAAGTTTGCTTTTTTTTCCAATCAAGATGTCCTTCAAATCAACATAATTTGAATATATCCCATTCAATTTTAGGTTGATTTCTTGTTTCCTTTCTTCATTCCTGAACCTACATAAATATTTTCAAATGTAAACTATCATGCAGTAAAACATCCACCCATACAGCTGTGCTGATGCTGAGAAAGGGTGATGTCATAGGAAACACTTTGGAGGCAGAGAGGACAGGATTGGTAGCATTTCCTCAGGCTTGAACCAGCTGAAGCCTGGTTCAGCTTCTGGTTGTGATGAGCAGTCAAAGCCCAGAGTCTGGAGTCGTGTTTCCTGGGAACTTACTTCTTAATACTATGTATACTTTGTTTCAACATAATCTTCTATTGATTTCTTCAGCCCAGAATGAGTGATTACTTCCATATTATATATTATTCAGATGCTATACATTAGAAATTGACTTAAATCCAACATCATTTTAGAAATGAAGCAAGTGAAATCCAAGCAGGACCAGCAGCTGTCTAAACTGCATATTTTTAATTATTGGAGAGTCTTAAATAGAAGTCACCCCCACCCCATGCACATCAATAAAAAGCTTTTCTGTTAAATACTTGGCTCCATTTGGATTAAATACAAAAGCTCTCATTCTACCAATAAGCATGCCTTCAAATAAAAATGAGTTTCAAATTTGAAATCCTTCACTTTCTTTTGAAATTCCAGGCATCCGTCCAGTCTGAGACAGACTTGGTGACAATTAGAAGGCTATTCATATCCTTGCACAGTCTAAAACATCTCTCCAGCCTCCTTTTTCAAATCTTTATTGAAATGTTTATCCATTCATGTGTTGATGAACATTTGGGGTAGTTCCAGTTAAGAATAATGCTACTGTGAATATTTGGTACAGTCTTCTGAGTTGACCTGTTCTCAGTTATCTTGAATAATCAGTAGATATATTAGAGGGTGAATGGGTAGGTGGACGGGTGGGTGAGTGGGTGGGTGGGTGGGTGGGGGGGTGGATGGATGGATGGATGGATTAATGGATGGAACAAATGAAGTGAAGTGAAGATAGATAGGTAGATAGATAGATAGATAGATAGATAGATAGATAGATAGATAGATAGATAGATAGATAGATAGATAGATAGACAGACAGACAGACAGCAATGATAGATGACAGATAGTAGAATGGCTGGGTCACATTGTGTATCTTTGTATGTTGACTAATTTGAAGAACTGCCATGTGATTGTTAGAGTTACTGAATGCCTTCACATTTGCCCAGTACTGCATTTGGACTAGAATATTGTTTTGACTGACAGTTTTCAGCCAGCTAATGATGTTGAGGATCTTTTCATGTGCAACTCTGGCTGGTTTTAAACTCTCTATCCTCCTGCCTCAGCCTCTTTAGTGCTTGATTTACAGGTCTATGCCACCATTCCCATTCTCGACATCTCTGCGAGCTGGCACTACCACCCATCACTCCTTCCAGAACTCCTGGGAAGCCCTTGTGGCTACACATCCTCCTTCCTTCCTTCTGGAAAAATGGAAACAATTCATACAAAGGAAAATAAGTGGGCTTCGTGTAACTGACTCACACCTTACAGGGGAAAAACTGATTCAATCATTTCACAAGAGCGGTATAGTTTAAATGGCTTTAGATTCCATATTTTGAAAAGAAATGCAAATGTTATCTATAGACCATTAGGATCTGCAACATCCATGAGTAGCTATGACTCCTTGGGAGGGTTGGTTTATGACCCACCCATTCATCTCTCAACATCTTTTTCAGTCCCAGGTGCTGTTCCCACTGAATCCATCCAAGGAAGTACCTTTGAGGAGAAGATATTTCTTCAATGGAGAGAGCCAACACAAACATACGGTGTCATCACTTTATATGAGGTACCTTACTTATTTGTTGGTAACTTACTTTTTAAGCATAATGTCTTGTGATGATCTGAGCTCTCTGGCATTTTAGAAACATAATTTCATGTTTCTTTGGAGAGTTTATATATAGTCATAATAATTGTTATATAGAAACAAAAGATGAAAAATGAGTTTTTCAACTCCATAATTTCAAGATACATATTTAAAATAAGTCAGATCATTGTGTATTGTGTGTTACATATTAAGATACAGTATAACATCTTTAGAAGTCACTTTTATTGAAAATAATAAATACTTTGAAACATACATTGATTAGGAAGCAA